CCTGCCAAGTGATGCATTATCTGGATTTCCCTCTTTACATCATCAACATCATCTTCTGTTATCAGTTTCCTCTTCATGATGGATTTGCAAGCATATTCCTTTCCAGTTACTTTTTCCACACAAAGAAAAGTTGTTCCAAACTGTCCATGTCCTAGCTTCTTCCCCAACTCATAGTATTCCTTCAAATGACCAGTTTTTGTTTGTAAAATCAACTCCACCTGCAACCCTGCACATGATGACCTCTTCCCATGTTTGGGCTTCTTAGGTTTTTCAGGTTCTGATGACTTATTCGGTTCATTGAATCTAGAGGATTGTGATGCTGGTCTTTCAGGCTCTGAGGGCTTATTCTCTTCATTCAATCTTGTGGATCGTGATGCTAGTTTAGAACTGAGTCTTGTAGGCAGCCGCTTTGGCTCCAATTTTACTTTGGCCTCCTCAACAGGTTTTGTTGGCTGCTCCTTTTTTACTGCCTCTTCCCTTGCCATTTTCATTGGTTCTGGGGGCTTCTCATGAGGAGCAACAACTGCTGTTTCTTTACACTCCACCCCATCTCCATTGCTATGTTCTTTCTTAACATCCTTGCTAGATTCTTCTTTCTTACTATCCTTGCTCGATTCTTCTTTCTCACCACTCTTGCTTGATTCTTTCCTATCATCCTTTGGCACATTGGCTGATTTTGAGAACCATGAGAATGTTAAGAATCCAGACTTTGAAGCGTTTCCAGCACAAGCATTTCCCATCTCAAACTACTTCAAAACTTTCTATACAAATCAGAGATAAAAAATTTTCTCATTACACAATTCTACCACAACCCCATTTCTTCTCTTCATAAACGGTATTGGCTCTTGGATAGACATCACCAAATTGAGACATTAGCTGCTCACAAATAATTCCCAATTCAGCCATCAAACTGCCTAATAACATCATAAATAATGCAACCCCTATTATTCAAATGATAATTGTTTCAGAAAATCTCCACACAGAGGAATCAAGAATCAATCCGGAGGATACCCAAAAACACAAAATTTTCAAAACCCAAATTTCCTAATCCAATCCCAGAACCGTCCACCATAATCCCAACCTAAAAATAGTAACTTTCGTTGAACCCAGTATCATAAATCATCAAATTTGACGAATTCTCAAATCAAAATGACAATTTCTTAATTAAATAAAATTGAAAAATGTATATTGCATGAACCAAATGAACAAAAGGGTTACGAAGAAGAAATGGTATTCTGGAGGTACACCGAGGGTGGGGTGGTGCCTTGCGTTACCAAGTCTATATTATGGAACAAATGTGATGTACGATTTCCTCGGCACAAGAATTTACTAGGGTTTATTTAATCTTTATATAGATGGTAGGGGTAATGCGACGATTTTCTCCCCCGTTTTCCTTCCCCCGTGGGTATTCCTGAAATTCGAAGAGGGAAAGAAAATGAAGGAAAATGGAAAGATCGGCTTTTCTGTTGGGAAGTTCAAATATTTCACTCGTTTCGGGCACGCGGGGTAATGATGATATTGTCACTAGAGAATACAATGTTCGACCACGTCCAATGCTATCTGTTTGATATATAAGATTGGCTGGGACTGACAATAATTTGTAATGGAGATTAAATGTCATGGCATTTTTAATATAACTCTTTTTTCTTTTTCTACTTTCTCAATTTAAAATAGCCATAGAAATAAATCTACTTTTCACATTTTCTAACAATCACTACTACTAAAGATTTGTGATTGCAAATGACCATATTACTAAGCAAAAAATGCAGACTTGATTTTAGCTTAAAATATAGTGAGTTCAGTCCGATTATTAATTTTTTAGATAACATAGATATTCAAATATTTGAGATAACTACTCTCATGAGTACTTACAAGTTGCCTTGCAGGTCTTCAAAGGTGTGAGCCATGGTCCATTAAAAATGTTTGCACCAAATGACACTAGAAGGTTTTACAAAATGTGTTTTCCATATGGTCTGCTTCACACCTTACCACTTAAGCTAACCTTATGTAAAGTTATTGACTTACAACAGGAAGTAGAGGTTTGGATGCCTGTTCCAGGATAGGTTTTAACCAAAATGGAGCAATGGTAAACTTTATTGGCCCAAGAATGAATTAAGGAAGAAATATGCTTTCCTCTCATACTCGGCATTTTAAGTTCAATAATCGCGATTCCCATTACCATGATTTTTATAGACAATTCATACCAAGTAGAAAGCCGGACATCCTACTATCTTAAGAAATTAGAGGCAATCATTTAAGAAGCAAGAATTTGTTGAATGTACGATGTGTAAGAATTGGAAGTTCATGACATTCCACCCAGCAATGAGGTCCACTAAAACCTTTTTAAGTTCAAAGCAAAACATGCTACCTACCACCCATTGCTAGCTTATACCAATACCGAAAGCATCCACCAGCTTGAAGATTGTAAAAGATCACAGCTTCCTAGCGTTGCACCTATTGTTTTCTATTATGATAATAAACGGAAGATTTAAAAACCAAAAAGGCAGTAAACCTTACAGGGGAGACAAAATGAAGTTTCTTAAATGTTGAGCAGGTAAAGTTCAAACATCTTTAGCCAAACCAGCAAGATCAATCTTGCCAGGCTCTTCTGGTTTAGGAGAAACTTCAATCTCAGGATGATCTTCAATGGGTACTCCACGGCTGAAGGATGGTGAGGATGCCCATTCTCTATCATGTGGTTCCCCAAAAGCATCAAAGATACTCTTCCTCATCTCCTCAGCAGCTTCAAAGAGACTGTTGATCCCACCAAAGAAGTGACGTTCAATGGACTCAATGTCATTGTGAAGCCCAGGGAAGGTAAATGGACCTTCACCATGTGATTCTGAGGCAAATCGACCTTTTACCACTTCTTCTGTGACATCTTCCTCAGTGTACTCTGTATTGGATTTCAGCACTTCAGTAGGCCTAATTACAACACATAAAAGTTTAATAATCCCAAGAAGAATTTGCATCTACAGTACTACACAGGATTAAATCCTTTTGCCTTCTCTAGATGAAAGAAACAGCTCGAAGGGCACATAATGATGTATTTCAAAGAAATCATGGAGAGGTTTATGAAAAGAAACACCACATTACTGACTCCCAATTCAAATTTTAGCCGATCTAGTTCAAGCAGAATCAAGGATACTGGATACATAAAATGAATACACATCTTAACAAAGAAAAAAAGGGTACTGCTACACACTAAAGTAGAGGAGTAGACTTGGAAATAATGAATAATCCCATCATTAACATGACATGTAATCACTATACCAAACATCCTTTTACAGCTCCTCTAAAATAGAAGTAGAAAGAAAGTCTCTAGAAGAAGGATGCCATGCCAATAAAGTGAATGTGAACCAACCAAATCTCAGCTCACATTCACGAACCCTGAACCCAACCCAACCCAACATATGACTGTGTATCATGATTATGCCAAGTACGAACTATGAAACTATTGTAAGGTCTCCTATATTAGCAGTAGAAGTTGTTAACTTGTTCTTATAGAAAGAAGTATATATAATTACAGTATTGAGTAGTTTTAACATGCTTTAACCTACTCTTTCGAGTTATCATAACTTCCAAAACAATAGAATCAAATAATATTTACATGATTGATACAAACGATATCGAAACTTTGCAGGTACCATTAATATCAGAAGAAAAACTACTACCAACCTCCACACATCCTTCCTCGAACTGTAGTTCATATATTTAGTGCTTCATGCTAAATCTTGATCTTGCATTCTGATCTTTCATCATTATTCAATCAGAAATCCCAAATTAAGACCACCATACTCAAAGGAATTCATCAAAGCTACCAATTTCACTTCTATTCCAATCATATACTAAATTTCAAGGTATAAGCAGCAATTTCTCAATCGAATCAATACCAAAATCCGTCCTCGGAAAACAGAAATCCTAGGATCAGAAAGTCTCCATGCATATTGCAAACAGAACAAAGCATACAATTTTAAAATTAAACGCTTACCTTCCGATGCAATCTCTGAGAATCTCCTCAGTCTTCTCGCACTTCCGGACGAATTTTCCAGGCTCGACCTCCTCTGTCTTGCACTGCGACCTCACCATCGTCCTGGTGGAGCACTGCCCGCCATCGCTAGCTTTCGATTCGGCGGCGCCGCCGGCATCGTCTCCCGGTTCATCTATCCACACCCAACCCATTCTGCTTTTTACTCGGCGCGAAATCCAGAAATATTTCTCGTCTTCTGATCCGGCAGATTATATCATATAACCCAATGTTTTCAAAGCCGAATCCGATTCTGGATTTGGATACTAGGACCGATTAGCCCAGCTGAACCACCGGTTCAATCAAATAATTAAGAGGTAAATACATATGGTATATAATTAACATATTATTACGCTAGTTAAAATAAAAAGTACTGTATATTATTTTACATAATATAAATTGGAAAGAGAAGTTATAATATGTTATTTAAAATAAAAGTTAACAATTATATCAACATATATTTTTTAAAAATTGTGATAATCAAAATAAAATAGAGATAAAATAATAGAGATAATATGAAAAAGAGTCGAACTAGTGATTTTTTGGATGGTATTTCCACTAACCTAGTGACAACAACCATGGGGCTAGGATGTGCAAAACAATTTAATTCTAGGTTATGAAAATTTTTGAAATATAAAATAAATGTACATGTACTTGTACTTGTGTCTGTTGATATTAGAAAATAAATACCAAAAATAAGGGCAAAGCATTATACTAAAGTATATTAATTTAATAATTATTTAATTTTTCAAAATTTTTAAAAATTAAAGCCAACTTCATTTTGTGGCTTACAATCCCAAACATATATTGAAATACTTATTAGTGCTTTTACTAACTGATATAAAGTACAAATGAGGTTGTAGGAAAAAGGAGTAATGATAGCATTTTTATGAAAATTTTGTCCGTATGGCAGAGGAAAAAAAAAGGTTTAATAAGAAAAGAGTTTTATTTTCACAAATAATTTATAAGTAAGATTAACTTGTTCATTTATGTTAATTTTAACTAAGGAGTAAAGCTAAAATATATTGTTTATGAAACTTTGATGTGTAACTTATGTGATTACTGTATGAATTTTTCATTCACACTATTGGGTTCGAGTCCCTTTACTCTCATTTCTCATTTTCTTTACTCCAAATTCTCTATGTACAAAAAAAAAAAAAAACCCATTGTTTGTGGGCATTTACACTCCACGCACAAGATGATAGTCTTTTGACTACTATGCTTGAGGCAAAAGAAAAAAAGGTTCAATAAGACAAGAATTTTATTTTATTTTTACAAGTAAATTTAAGTAAAGTTAATCGGATTATCTATTAATTTTAAAAATAAAAAACATATTATTTATAAACATGAATGATCAATACACATAATTGAAATTCATAATTTTATTTTTATAGCTTTATTGATTCTATTTTCCAAAAATATGTTTGCTTATTCTCTGTTGTGTTCCTTTCCTCCTATTTGCGGTTAGAACCTTTGCCTTTTCTTTTAGCGGTTCATACCAGTTCAACCGCTTAAGCGGTTTTCAACCCTTGACAGGACCGGATTCGGGAACATTACCGGTTCGACCGGACGGTCGGATCCAGCTTTATCATCGCTTGTTTGGGCGCCAAGTTCCGCTGAATATTTTTCAACTCCACGCAGAGAATGGAGAAGTTGATCAGGTGCCAGATGTTGAATTCAAGATCAAGGTGCAAGCTTTTCAATTTCAAGTTCTCCAAGATTGGGAATCTCCATCTGTCAACAGTTTCTCGATCATCTAAACTTTCGCAGCCTAAGAAAACCCAGAAGTGTAGCTCCAAAAATGAAGCAGAAAAGAGTTCCATGGCCTCGCTCTTCAACCAGATAACGGAGATTTTAGGAGTTGGAAACATAACCCCAGATGAAACTCCATCTGGTATTTCACTATTGAATCGAACCGATGTGAGGGATGTTGTGTTTAATCAAGAATCACCGGCTGGCATGCAAGCTGTTTGTAGAAATGCCGAGGAGAGTGTGTTGATGAAAAAGGAGGGGAATTTATCAGTTTCGGATGATTTTAAAAAGGGAAATGAAGTTGAATTTGATGTGAGCCCGGTGGTTCATGAGATAACACAGATAGTTAGAGATGAGCATAGTGTGGTTTCGATGGAGGAGAGGCTGGAAAACTCCGGGATACGGTATGAACCAGGGATTGTTGAGAAGGTGTTGAAGAGGTGCTTCAAGGTGCCCCATTTGGCTTTAAGGTTCTTCAAATGGGTAAAGGAAAGAGAAGGGTTTTGTCACAACACTGAAATTTACAATACCATGTTGTACATAGCTGGAGAATCAAAAAACTTTTTGCTTGTTGAGGAACTGCTGGAGGAACTGGAGGAGAAATCGTGCAATAAGGATATCAAGACTTGGACAATCCTTATCTCACAATATGGGAAGGCAAAGTTGATAGGCAAAGCATTATCAATGTTTGAGAAGATGAGGACATGTGGTATTGAACCTGATGCAGCAGCTTATAAAATGATCATATCTTCACTTTGCAAAGCTAAAAAATGTGAGCTTGCATTAGAATTTTTCAAGGAGATGGTTCAGAAGGAAATAGCCCTTGATTTGACTATGTGCAAGAGATTACTCAACTGCTTAGCAAGATCAGGAAATAGTGTTTCTGTTCACTCAGTTGCGGAAGACATGACAAGGGTCTTTCAGATTCCAGAACGGGAGGTTTATGACCATGTTCTAAGGAGTTTTTGTATCTCTGGAAGAATCAAGGAAGCTCTAGAAATCATTCGTGACCTAAAGAATAAAGAGTTGTCTCTAAACCCTGGGTATTTTGAGATTCTGGTGAAAGGATTATGCAAGGCTGATAGGATCACTGATGCTCTAGAAATTGTTGATATCATGAAGAGAAGACAATTGGTCACTTCAGATGTTTATGGGATTCTCATCAGTGGGTACTTGAAAAGAAATGATCTTTCCAAAGCTCTTGATCTCTTTAAAAGCATGAAGGAATCTGGCTATTTTCCCACAACTTCCACTTATACTGAGCTCATGCAACGGTTTTTTAGGTTGAATCAGTATCAGAAGGGCTGCGAGCTATACAATGAGATGCTAGATGGTGGTATTGAACTAGATATTGTGGCAATCACAGCCATTATTGCAGGTCATGTTCGACAAAACCACATTTCTGAAGCATGGAAAGTGTTCGAGAGTATGGAGGAAAAAGGTATCAGGCCTACATGGAAGTCATACTCAGTATTCATTAAGGAGCTTTGCAAAGTTGAAAGGACAGGGGAAATTCTTAAGGTCTTGAACAAAATGCAGGCTTCTAAAGTTCCCATTCGAGATGAGGTATTGGATTGGGTTATATCTTGTATGGAAAGAAAGGGAGAGATGAATAATGTTGAAAAAGTAAAGCAGATGCAAAGAATTCTTACTTCTCATTCTCAAGTAGGTGAGGCATCTGGCAATAACATAGCCAGGGTGGAAGATCCCCATCTTGAGTTGAACCACAATCAACCAGAAATAGAAAGAACAGATTGTAACTTAATAGAGCCATTTTTGAGGAATTACAGTGAGCATGATCTCCAACAAGTTTGTAGAATATTATCATCCCCAATGAACTGGGGCCTCATGCAAGAAGCTCTGGAGAAATGCAGTGTTCAGTTTACACCAGAACTTGTCCTAGAAATATTGCGAAAATGCAGTTTGCAAGGTAAAGCTGCACTACTTTTCTTCTCATGGGTAGGAAAGCAAGCTGGTTATCAGCACACCACAGAAACGTACAACATGGCCATGAAAATTGCTGGATGTGGAAAAGACTTCAAGCACATGAGAAACCTTTTCTATGAAATGAGAAGAAGGGGTTGCTCAGTAACACCAGATACATGGGCAATCATGATAATGCAATATGGTCGAACAGGCCTAACAGAAATTGCTTTGAGGACTTTCTCTGAAATGAAATCTAAGGGACAGACCCCAACTGCTAGTGGATACAAATATCTGATCATTTCTCTTTGTGGGAAAAAAGGTAGGAAGGTAGATGAAGCAATTAAACTATTCCAGGAGATGATCCAGGCAGGACATATCCCTGACAAAGAACTCCTCGAAATTTATCTCAGTTGTTTATGTGAAGTTGGCAAACTCGTTGAAGCTAGAAGTTGCACAGATTCTCTCTCTAAAGTTGGATACACAATTCCACTTAGTTATTCCTTGTATGTTCGGGCACTCTGTCAAGCAGGAAGACTGGAAGATGCTTTAGAAATGATAGATAATGTTGAGACAGAACGTTCTACGTTGGAACATTATGTTTGTGGAAGCGTTGTTCATGGATTGCTACAAAAGGGTCGATTAGAAGAAGCATTGGCAAAGGTGGGATCCATGAAAAAAACAGGTATTTGTCCCACCGTCCATGTTTATACATCCTTAATAGCTCATTTCTTCAAGGGGAAACAGATTGAAAGAGCTCTGGAGATATTTGAGAAAATGAAACAGGAGGGATGTCAACCAACTGTTGTCACATATTCGGCATTGATCCAAGGGTACATGAATGTGGGAAAGGTTGTTGAAGCTTGGGATGTTTTGCATCAGATGAAGATGAAGGGACCGGTGCCTGATTTTAAGACTTACACCATGTTTATTGGTTGTCTGTGTAAGGTAGGGCAATCTGAAGAGGCCATGAAGCTTTTGTCTGAGATGCAGGAGAACGAGATTGTTCCAAGCACCGTCAATTATCGAGCAGTTTTCTTTGGACTAAATAGAGAAGGTAAACAAGATTTAGCTAAAATTGTATTACAACAAAAGTCAGCTTTAAGATGCAAACGCAAGTTGTTAATATGAATGAATTTGTTCTTCTCTCTAAATCTTTCTCTGAACCTGTCATTCCAGAGTACACCGCCTTATTTCTATTAACAGTTCTCAATTCGCTATATAACAATTAAGTTGAATCCAAAGGGGGGACCCCAATTTTCGTATTCAAAAGCTTGAAAGAAGAGTAAGATAATGGTTACAAAGCTTAATTCATCGCTAAAGTAGCAAAATTCTACTCCTCATGACTGGTAGCTTGGTGCCCTCCAATCTTGGACTAAGCAACATTGTTAATTATGCATACACATTCCTGAGGATATAAAGAACCACTTCAGACCCATCCGCTATGAAGAGAACAAGTAATGCATGAAGATTCCCTGTCGTTGGCCTTTGTTTCATAGATTTTGTTCTTAGCTTCAATGATGTTTATCAGGTGCTTAATCAAATCTTACATGAAAATGAGTGAAGATAAATCAAAGAGAATGGCAACTGCTAATGAGAAACTAATAAGAATGGTCTACCCCAGTTATCATTTTAATGAAAGAGGCAGCAATTTTGCAGCCCATAAACCTGTAAGGGTAGAGCAGAGCCCAATGCAGGGTGTACGATAGTTACAATAGGAACATCCTTATCCAATCACTTGCCCTTACTTAATTGTTTTCAAGAGACTTGTTCCGTCAGTACATGTCATACTCATTTAATGCGGTTACTCTATTAAGTCATGTTATGTTCACCTAAGACATCTGCTCTGTCAAACAAATCATGTCGTGATTACTAAGTTAAGCAAGCCACATGGATACCCTGTCAACATATACAAATACCTTCACAAACTACTAGAAAAAGGTTAGATAAGAAATCAATCAAGAACTCTTTCATACTTCCTTTTAAGAGAGCATAGCTTAAATTATTACTAATTTAAGCATCAGAGTGTTTACTCAGATACCACCCTTGGGGCTTTGTAGGTTAACTCGAAGAGAAGATTGTAACAAAAGAGACCTTGAAGGATTTCTACATCAACAAAACCCTTGAATGTGGGATGTCTGAATATATGCAAGCTCTTTTCTTTTTTTTTTTTAAGTAAACTCTTGATATTTGGGAATCAGATTGGAATACCAGTGCAGCTCCTCATATCACAATTTGATGTATGCAAGGTTTTAAAATCGAACCGATCATTGAACCATTTTTAGGTCTGATTTTTGGTTTAACCAGTTCAATTGATTGAACTGGTGAATCGGTTGATCCAAATAGCAAGGAAAATCCAAAGAGAATAGGTTGCAGGCGAGATTTTTTAATTTGGTGTCTGATAATTTTGTAATTTTGTTAAAATTAAAGGTTAAAATGGGTATAAGAAAGGAATGAAGAGGGTGAAATTGGAAAAAATTGAAAGAAAATTGCATGAGAAATTGAACCGGTGGTTTTTTTGGTTTCACCGGTTCTACCGATTTCACTAGATTTGACCGATTTTGACATCAAATGTTTTTTATGTAAATCGAACCGTTTTCATTATCGGATATTGGTCCGATCGGTTCAACCAGCCAATCCGGTCCGATTTTAAAAACCTTGGATGTATGTTTGCGATTTCAGTTTTGAAATTGTAAAATCTTACAGTTCGAAAATCTGGAAGTAATCCACGGAGAAACCAACAGGCTGAATGCTCCTTTGTCCTCTATCCGGACGATCGTGCTGTTTCTAGCTCTTTTTCATTTGTTTTCTTTTTTTAAATACTATGATTTATAATATCATGTAATGTTATATATAACATGATATATTAGTATATAATTAACTCTTTTTATTTTTGTATATATCAATAATATTATATATACCAACTCGATTATAAATTGACAAATATGGTTCATTGAAATTGTTTGTACCAAATGGAGAGGAATTTGAACTTTAATCAAAATGAGTCGCCCTTTAGCTGAGTTGTATTGCAATCCAGCGGAGTCAGGTTGTTCTGGTACAGTTTCAAGTTTTGCATTTCTCCACCTGAGATAAGAAAGTTTCCTATTGAAAAACACAAGTGCAGAGTAGAACTAAGATTTCTGCATTATAAAGTATAATCAGTCGTTAAATGTTAAGGACTGTTACATCTTTTGTTAAAGTAGGATTTATTGTTACATGACTGAGGCAATAGTTCTTTTCAAGAAAGAATTATTTTAGGATACAAAAATGGAAGCTTTATCACTAATAAAATCAGAAATTCTGCAACCTACCTGTATTCCTGTGTAAGGCATCAACCAGTTAAGCTAGAATTGAAGCGGAAGCAACAGAAACCGTGTGTTTTAAGTAAGCTACTTGGCTTTTTAACACTGTTCTCGAGACTGCCATTCGGGTTAATGGTCCCGTTCGTTGGGGAGCTCGGGGCACTGTAGTTAGTCTTGTGAAGAGCTGATACATCTTGCTGAGGTGATGAAGCTGGTGTTATTCTGTTGTGGTTGGCTTCCCTTGAAACAGAATTAGACCTGCAATACCATTGTGAAACCAGTTATACACGGTACTATTATTCAATTTTTGAATAGACTGAGTGAGTAAACATGCAGATTGTGCCCATGGACAAGAAATATGTGAACAAATTACCTGTTGTCATTAATTCCAGAGCTATCCCTGGGGTCCGCTGATGTCCTCTCCTCAACTTTCTTTTTGAATGTCTCATTGCAAACCTCACCTCCTGAACAAGCTCCAACATCTGCGGTAGAAATCAAGTCTGTTACTATGCAGTCTACACTCTTCTCTGAATCTGGAGAATCTTCAGGAAAGCCAGATGAAATGGCCTTGGTTTGGCTGTTATGTCCATATTCTCGAACTATGGAAATGGCCTTCTCTAATGTTCCTAGAGCTTGTTGCACCTCTGGTCTTATACAGATATTTCTTTTATTATTTACTTGATTCTTATCAGCAGGTATACTGGCCAAAGATTTCTCTATAGCCTGACACTCTACATTCGTACTCTCTTCACCCTTTTCCTCAATTTCACCATCCACAAATGTGCTTTCTTCATTTTCTTCCTCCTCAATTTCACCAAAACTTCTTTTTGTGCCGTTGGCAATATCTGGTGAAGGTTCATCAATATGGGCATTAACATGAACCTCCTGTTTCATGTTGCCTGTGACATCCAGAGTCTCTTTGATAAAATGTTCATCATTATGAATGCGTGCTTCATTTTTGAGTTCTTGCCCTTCCAAAGTGTTGTGTGATTCTTTAATGGTATAAAGAGCTTCACGTATTCGAGCATACAATGGATCATTCAAAACTTTGCTGTAATCTTCATCATAATTAGACACAGAAGCCACTGCCTGTAAGACATGAAGATTAGAAACAATGAGTAACATAGTACAATTTCCGATTAGAAGCTATGAGACCAACAACTCTAAAGTTGCAGAATGGGGCCCAATGAATTGCTGATTCCATTTCATAAAAAGTACTGAATCTCAAATAGCTAAATGGGTTGCTTTTGTCTGTAGCATTATGAAACCAAAAAAATTAACACCAATACCAATTGTAAACTGATAACAATGGGAAAAAGCACACAGAAGAAAACATAGAACCTTTTGATAGAGTCTGAAACCATTTCCAATGAGTTGCCTTGAGATAAAGTTTATGAGGGATGGAGGGACAAATTCCAGCTTCACATCCATGTTTCCTATTGTCCTACAAAATCCAACATTATGCAATTAGGAAACAGAACGGTAAAAGGTCAACAAATCATGTCTATGTTGCCTACGTCAACCTTCAACGAATAGGATTTCTGTTTTCATTTCTTCATTAACTAAAGAATATCTTCGAAATTAACTAAACATGAGCAGAAGTCCTTGGTTTTTGACGTGGCCTTGATCCTGACCTCAAGTACTTTTTCTCCTTGGAATGTAAACTGTCATTTGGTTACCATACTTAGATCTGGCCAACCTAATAACCTTAATTTTTAGAATGACTTACCGAAAGTAACTTCTCTCTGTTGTCACCTTCTGCAAAGCAAAGCCTCCAACCAAGTCAATCCTTACAACATCTGTTGCTTCAGGGATCCCATCCTTGGTGAACCCATGGGTGCTCTTATCAATACTCCTCACGTCTGAGATCTGAGAGCAAGAAAGTACAATTCTTCTTATCCACTTCAGTTCTTAAAAATAAGGCAGAAAACACACTAACAAAAGAAGATGAAAATAGATTCCACCATTTCAGGCAAATACCGAGTTCAGGAGACAAACAATCAGATCGCCTTCAAAGTACTCAAATAGAAAATAGTGCACTAATGCTTCCCTGGCTGACAGTGGCCATGCAACCTTCATCCTTTCTTCCAGAAACACAAAGATAAACAACCATTGTACAATTAGGGAGCATACAAAGCAGACAAACAAATTTCAGCAAGGGCTATACATTTTTACTGGACAAACCTCACTAAAGATATCTGTTCACCAATTCGGACCTTTTGCAAACACTCAGAAGTAGTTACTTTGAAATTCGGAAAACTAAATTGAGGCCACCTACAAGCAAAATCAAAGGACAAGGTAATATGAAATTGTTACAGAAGAAAATTGATTAATAGAAGTTCTTATATGAAGCATGTCTTGCTTAATAAGGAAAAGTGCATCCATGATAATTGCATGATCCACCTGCACAAACATTTATCCCAACAACATCCTACCTTATTACCCATTGTGAAAAATTAGAAGATGGCCAAAACCATTCAGCCAACATTCTTGGTTTGAATGAGAAATAAGAATAGATATTTCTAATAATTGAACATATGTAGGAGCAGAAGATAAAGAAGACATCCAATAACAAAATGAGAGAAAATAAAAAAAACAGATATAGATACCTTATTGAGTTCAAGAAAACTTATAAAACCAGGAAAGGAGACTCACAACCATAACACCAGTTTTCAATGCACTTAATGATGCTATAACAATAGTCCAACACCATAAAGGAAAAAAACAAAAAACACTAGAATATATGCTCACATAGATCCAAAAACCAGAGCATGGTATTTCTCTATAATTGTTTTTATGGTCAATAGAAACAATACATATGGATAGAAACACTTCTCACCATTTCATGTACAGTGTTGACTCCCAAGAGATGCATAAACCTGCAAAGAAAAATGGAACTTATCTAAAAAGTTACTGACAAAATGATAGGGGCATTAAAAGCCTGAAGTTATTGGCACAATTGTTTCCTCGTTATCACAGGAAGAAATCTATATTTCCAAAATCATCCAACAAACTTACAAACATCTACAGGTCCATCCACATAGCCTTCAACAAGTAAGCTATGAAAAGGAGTGCCTTGAGGTCCTTCACGATACATGACACGGAACTCTTCACTATCCTGTTTTAACTGACCTCCAAAAGAGCAGTAATGATAAGAAAAAGTAACAAATATTCTATATAGGCAAGTTAATTAAATTACTCTTAATATGAAATTTTTTGAATAGGTTGAGAGACAGTTGACTTTTAAATGTGTAGTTAACAAAGTGTCTTCAAGGAAGAAGTTTGAATTATTGAGCTGCCTGACCACGAATTAGATACTAAGAAACTGGATGACGTGGTGCTCATTAACCATGACTTTCTCAGTTTCTCTATTTTCAGGGATAAATGAAAATTTAAAAAAGAAAAAGTTATCACTAAGAATTTTTATATTGAGAAAGGGTCATAGAAAGACAATAAGACAAAGAAGAGCATTCTGATGAGAAATCATACTTTCCATTCACCATGTGAAGCCTCACGGGTTTTTGACAACTCTAGATCATTTACAGATGCACTCCTTAACATGTTCAGAAAATTGGACACTTCAGCAGTCCTTTTTTTCAATACATTCTCGCTAAATCCTGTACAATAATAAGAAAAAATTGTTTGATAAAATGATACCAACCTGTACCTTTAGTATTACCTTGATCAGAGGATTTTAAAAAGTATACATCACAGGATTCACTGCTTCTGAAAGAAACCAACATGATGATATTTCATATTTGAAAGGAAGACTAACCATCCTTCTCATGTTGTGAAGTTTGAAGGATTTGATTCTTGATAAGGATTTCCAGGGTCTCCTCATTTGTTAGTTCAGCAGATGCCAAAGTCTTGTCCAACCTCTCTCTGTATATAGAGATCTTCTGTTTTTCCATAGTTATCTTCAAGCAAACTGCAGGTTGCCTTGTCTATAATGCTCAAATGAGCAATCAACCTGTATGATTGCACAAGATGGTTAAAGAATTTTATTTAAATCAGCAGCCAAAACATAGTCCTCAAAAGCTATTAACTGTAAACAATTAGACAATACACTGGACCATCTCGAGGAGTAATCAACAGAAGAAAGTAGGATTAACAACAAAAATAAAAGCAAACAACAGAATCAGAACAAGGCAGCGAAAACAACAGCACATACCAGAAAACAAAGCCGCACATAATTTTCATTGATTAGAACAAATCAGTGAGATTCCAGACAACAGCAAACAGCAGAATCAGAACAAAGCAGTGAAAACAACACATCTTAAGCACATGAGAGCCAAAATCAAAGGAAGCAAAACCATCCAGCCATATAAATAATAAAAGGGAAACCGTAACCAAACTTAGCAAGAGCAGGAAAATGTTGCAAGAATTATTGAATTCACCATATTCTCATTCAAATCATAAGCATACTGTTGAAAGGAAGATTAACCATCCAACACATATGGAAAAATAACCCAAAACCAGGAAATTCACCAACTTTCAGCTCACATGAGATTATGAGAAGCTCCGAACGAACGAACACCAGGAATCCCAGAATCAGAAAAAAGAAATCAGAACAACCAATTCCTCAAATTCTCATTCAGAGCTGCAGCATACATGGGTCACAGAAGCAGATTCCAAAACCAAAAAAGTCAAGAACTTTAGAGTCACATGAAAGACTCTCAACCAAATAAGAACTACCCAGAAAGCAGATCTCAATTAATACACCTCTGGCATCTCCCCCACGCATTGATCACTGCGAAAAGGAGACAAAACCACCTGATGCGGGACCTTCTAGACGGACAATCAACATGGGGTCCTCCTCTCGAGCATAACGGTTGCCATACAGGCAGCAGAACCCCCAACAAATCACAGCTTCCAGGAAACTAAAAACTATGCTTTGCATTAAAATACAAAAAAGCAAAAACACATTTAATTTATTTAAACGAGTTAAATGAACATACAGGAGGAGGAGGATGAGGATGAGGGCGTTTGTAGGTTAGAACAAGTTGGAAGAGACAGCGGGCGGCGGGACCCACGACGGCAATGGGATTGAAGCTACCAGATAAGTTACGTTTGTTGTGAGCCATTAGCGGACTTGGACTTTCCCGGTGAAAAAAGCTGCAAGCTTTTACCTCACACGGTGCTGGCTGCGTTGTTCTTAAGCTAAGAATTTGCTGGAT